TGAGTTATGGTGTTGGAGGAGAATATTGAAAGTGCCATGGGCTGCCAAAAGAACCAATAGATTTGTTTTGGAAGAAGTGCAGTCAGAGTGCTCCTTGGAGGCTAAGATGGCCAAACTTTGTCTCTCATACTTTGGACATATTGTCAGGAGGGACCAGTCACTGGAGAAGGACATCATGTCTGGTAAGCTGGAGAGTCAGACAAAAAGAGGAAGACCCCCAACGAGATGGATTGGCCAAGTGGCAGCATCGATGGACTCAAGCGTGGCAACAGTAATGAGGTTGACTCAGGATCGGGCAGTGTTTCATTCTGCTGTGCATAAGGTCACTATGAGTTGGTACCGACTAGATGGCACCTAACAACAACAACATATAGATTTAATACACTGAAGCTAAAATATTTTAAAACGAGTTGTCACCCAGTCGAACCTGACCTACAGTGACTCCACAAGGTGAGTTAAGAGTAGAACTGAACCGTGCTCCAGGTTTGTCAGTGGCTGATTTTTCAGAAGTAGATAGACAACTTCTGGATGGACTCAAACCTCCAACCTTGTGGCTAGTAGGTAGTCTAACCAAACAATGATAATTGTACTATCCAGGATTAAAGTAGTATTTAAGGAAGTGTGACAAATCACAGGGCTCAAGATAAAAAGATGAGCCCACTAAAGGCCAGGTAGTTAAAGGGTTATCATCCCAACAAATGCAGAAAGTTTATCAGCTCTGAACAAGAGATGTGGTTAAATGCTGTGGAGTCAGTTCTGACTCAGAGCAGCCTTGTATTGGGTTTCTAAGACTTAACCTTTGCCGGAGCAGAAAGCCTCATCCTTCTGCCACAGAGCAGCTGGTGGGCTTCAACCACCAACTTTGTGCTTATCCTACAGAGACACACCAGAACTCCGTAAAACACAAATCTAGATATAATGCCAGTAGTTTTAACAAAAATTGCCAAATTTCCTGTTCATTAAAGTTAGTCTCCCGCTATTACTGAAGCTGTCATTGTTTTATGCCCTTTTCCTTTTCAAATTTTGCTAAAATATTTTATCTTCCCCTTTATAAGAAACACTAGCTTGGAAAACCTAAACAGGGTCACTATGGGTGGGAACCAACTCGAAAGTACTTGACAACAACAATGATATAGAGAAGCACATTACAAAACTCTTCTACCAGAAACTGATTCAGAAAATAACTATAATAGCAGGTACTCTACCTATTGGCAATAAAATCCAATCTTCTGTAACTTCCACAAGTTCTTCCTACATAATGTCAATCAATTTAGTTGACAAAGACCCACACAATGCCTTGAGGCAGGACATACATGAAGATGTAAATAACTGTAACAATGACACCCCAGGAAATGACTGAGCACAGGGTTCATCTCATGACCCATCACTAAACAAGCACTGGGCACCTGTTGATCCAGCTCAGCAGCGTTAACACTCACACAGTCACACAAAGAGGACGAGACTTCTTGGAACCCTCTTTCTGTATAGGAACTTTTCAGTTTTAACACTGCTACACTTCAGGAAGGAGTCCCGGTGTGGGGCTGCGGGTTAATGCACCAGACTGCAAAGCTGTTTGAACTGCCAGGTTGGCAGTTCAAGCTCATCAGCCACTCCTCGGAAACCCTATACAGGGTTGCTATGGGTTGGAACCAACTCGATGGCACTTAACAACTACAACAACACTTTAGGAAAAGGATTTTTGAATGTAAATCAGACTCAGGATCGGAATGCATAACACTACAATCCTATAAAATACCCGGTATGGCTACTGGACACTTGAAATTTGACTAGTTTGAATTATGTGTTTTAAGTGTAAAAAATACATCAGGTTTTCACAGATATAGAATGAAAAAAAGAGGACTGTAAAAGATCTCATTTTGTATCTTGATAACTTGTTGAAATCAGATGTATTGGATTAAATAAATTGTATGACAAACACTAATTTCACTTGTTTCTTTTTAGGTATTAACATAGCCTGCATTGTATTTCTATTGGATGGTGCTGCTGTAGACCTACAGCCCAATTCTGATTGTTGTTGTTGTTGTTAAGTGCTGTCAAGTCATTTCCAACTCATAGCGACCCTGTATAGGATTTAGGAGGTGGATCTGAACCACTGTCCTTGCAGTTTAAACAGATACTGCCGTGGAGTACTCATCCTACAGTGCCACACCCAGGATTCCAATTCTGATTAGCAAGTAAGAACTATCATTGTTGTTGTTGTTAAGTGCCGTTGAGTCAGTTCTGACCCATAGCGACCCTGTACAGGGTTTGAGGCTATAAATCTTTACGGGAGCAGAAAACCTCATCTTTCTCCTACGGAGCGGCTGGTAGTTTCGAACTGCTGACCTTGCGGGTCACAGCCCAATTCATAACCACTATGCTACCAGAGCTCCTTAAGAACTATCATTAGGCATACCTCAATTACAGTTGTCATTTGAAAGCCAAAGGTAAAAAGCAATTATTTTCCCTTCTCTACTGTGGAGTCCTGGTGTGGCGCTGTGGGCTAATGCACTGGACTGCAAAGTCAGTGTGAACCACACACAAGCTCAGCAGTTCAAGCTCACCAGCCACTCCTCATCACCTCTATACAGAGTCACTATGGGTTGGAACCGACTCAATGGCACTTAACAACTTTATGGTTGTGGCGCTGTGGGATCAGCACTGGACTGCTAACCACAAGATGGGGAGTTCAAACCTACCAGCCTCTCCTTGGAAACCTTATTAAACAGTGTCTCTGAGTCAGAACCAACTGGACGCCACTTAACAACAACTACAACTTTATCAGTGAGAATCCTGGTGTGGCACTGTAGGATAAACACTGGACTGCTAACCGAAAGGTGGGGGGGGACGGGTTGCCACTTTTCAGAAACCCTATACAGGGTCACAATGAGTAGAACCGTCTAAACGGCACTTAACAACAACTTTACCCATGTAGTTGAAATAACTTACAACAAGGTATCAGCCAAATCAGTTGGTCCTGGAACCAATTTAAGAGGGATTATTGTGCTTCAAAAGGGCAAATGATAGCACAGGATGTTTAACCACATCTCTGAAGAAAATAAAGGGGGAAATACATAAGCTCAATTTTTTTCATACTGAGTCTAAGGTTTACCATTTATGGGAAATGGACATTTCTTTCATTTTCAGCACTCTGGGCCTTAAAACAATACAGTGTAAAGTTCTGTCTCTGTGTTATATAAGCACCTTCAATCATAAATCATCCATTAACATTATAAAAAGAGAATCTATCATTATAAGCAATTTTCTCTATCAAAACCCAAAGAAAATTACAATTACTACTCAAAAGCAAAAGAAAAAATTATGTCAGAGTTTCTCTGGGGCTGAGCGGGATACCTTGGTCCACAGATGTTATGAAAGAAAGTATGTATTACTCTAAGTCTATTTGTAAAGTGAGACATTCAGTGACAAACTTCTACGAGTGAATTATGTTCTTCCTCAACATCATTCTGCTTTATTTGATTTTATAATATTTAGAACCTTAGGGTTCTTGGGAGGAAAGCCAGTATATTTTTTATTCTATTAAAATGATTCTTAAGAGTAAAGGTGCAGACAAGTAAATTGTCAGTGATGAAATTGTACAGGGGGAAAAAAAAAACATCAATCAGTCCCCAGAACACCAGCGGGCATAATGTAAAAATGTTCAAATAATGATAAGGAACTTTCTTAGAGTCCTAACAAATTTATAATCCAAGGAAGGCCACACTTGGATGCCAATTAAACCAATTTGAAGATCATCAGCTGAGAAGAATCTTCACACTTCTATTTACTAGGTGAGACATTCCAGGGAGCTTTAAGAGCTAGTGGTTAGGAATCGGGCTGAGACCCTTAAGGTCAGCAGTTTGAAACTATCAGCTGTTCCGCGGGAGAAAGATGAGGCTTTCTACTCCCGTAAAGATTTACACCCTCGGAAACCCTGTACAGGGTCGCTATGAGTCGGTTCCGACTCCAGGGCACATAACCACCACCACCACCACATTCCTGGGAAGCCTTCTTAGGCATTTAAATGCCAAGTTCAATTAGGATCCCAGTAGAGTAAGCAGAAAGGATTGTACATATTTTAACTGGGGAGTAGACTGGTTGCAGTCTCCTACTTTGGTGGCTACTAAGGGGTACAGTTCTTTCTTATTAAAATCACCCTTAAAGAATCGCATCTTCCTACATTACCAAATAGGTAGAAAGACGACCATTTCCATAATAGCATACTATTTTTAGTGTTTGGAACGGGTCTTTAAAAATACATTCCACGGTACAATTTGTTTTGACTAAGTTTGTTCAGGAAAGGAAATTTGCATTCTAAGGTCTTGATTTTTTTAAGCTTAGAAAGAAATCTTCTAAACATGCAGATTAAAAACTAAGACAAGTAGGGACATTGGTCTGTTCTGGACAACCAAAGTGGAGAGAGAAGGTGGAAAAAAGGTACGAGGAAAATAAAAACCAACCACAAGGGTGGCGAGATGTGGGCAAACGGGATAGAAAGGAACAGAGGCACAGTGGAGCTAGTCACCTAGGGAGGGCGAACTGGAACGGTGCGCAGGGCTAGGAGACCCTCTGAGGCTTGAGAAAAGAAGGGAAAACAGGAGACCGAAGACAGGCGGAGGTGAAGGCATGGGCTACACCTCACCGAGGGCAATGAGCGGGACGGCAAAGGTAGCGCGGCTGGAAGAGGACAACGTCGGGGGCGGAGCAAGGGGCTTCCGAAAGGCTATCCACGCCCGCCGCAAACCGGCAGGTCCCTGTGTGTCTCTTTTCCTATCCTCACCTGGAAATCGGAGGCGAAAAGAGGGCTACCGCTGTACGCTGGATCTGTTTCCCGCCCGACTCGCTGACATGGCGGCCGACGAGTTGTCACTGAGCTTGCTCAGGTCTCCCGCGGCTCCGGTGAAGGAGACACCACTCGCTTTCCCGCTCCGCCTTCCTCAACGCACCCCTCCCAGCTGGCTGGTTGGCTGGCCAGCCAGCGACCGCGGAGCATAGAGTGCAAAAGGCTAGAGAGGAAGCGCAGAGGGAGGACAACCATAGAGTACGAGTCCGGACATAACCCGCAGAGTCTGTTTTTCTCTCATCTGGCACTCACAATCCGTCAGCGGCCGAATTAGAACGGAAGCGGAAGTTAAGAAGAAAGGCGTTCGCATGCGCATTTCATAGTGTTTACTTCCGCCCTCTGTAGTCTGGGTTTGAGGAAATGGTGCACGTGGGTTCCCTGTGCAGGGTTCACCGAAATAGCGACCCTGCGTGATCTTTGGGCTGGACCTCAAAGGACAAGATGTGGGCCCCAGTAGCGGGGCTTCCCGCACGGCTGACCTTTTCAGTCTTTACCGGTGCTGGTCGCTTTTATGTTTTGGGGTCCGGAATGGCGACGCGGAACGACTTACTGGAGGTCCCTCACAGAGGCTTGTCTGACTCTCGCCCGCTGCCGTTGCCTTGCCCTGATATCGAGGAATCATCTTCGTGGGTGTCTAAGTGTCGTTTAGACCACAAGCGTTATGTAACCAATCGGAGATTGGCTGAGAGCTTGGCGCAGATCCTGCAAAGGAAACAAAAAACTCCCCAGCTAGTCCTGGAGTGCAATCCTGGTGAGTCGGGCGTGGATTGCATTTTCATGTATGTCAAACGCACTTACCTGAAAAGAGGAGCCAAAGCCTAAGCATATTGTCTGTATTAATGACGCCGCACTGTTTCTGTAGTAGGTTCACGTCAAACAATATTAACTTTTTATTGTGAATTGAGTCCCACATTCAGCAAATCATACTTCGTGTCATTACAATGACTGCAATCCCCTCCTTGTACCCTCAGTTAACAGTATTACCTCTGTTGTTGTTGTCATTGTTGTTAAGTGCCATCGAGTCGGTTCCGACCCATAGCGACCCTGTACAGGGTTTCCGAGGGTGTAAATCTTTACGGGAGTAGAAAGCCTCATCTTTCTCCCTCGGAGCGGCTGGTAGTTTCGAATCACAGACCTTAAGGTTCGCAGCCCGATTCGTAACCACTACGCTACCAGACCTCTATACACTTTAAATCTTGCACTTTGCCCTGTGTTTTCTTCTGCCTTCATCTTTCTGATGCCAACCTCCCTCCCTCTTGTATATTACCTTCGCCATCACCTAAGTTTGCATGTATCCATCCACCCTCTGCCCAGTGAATAATTTCCCTGCCCTCCCTCCCCTGGTAACCATCATGTTGTTGTTGTTGTTGTTGTTGTTATGTGCTGTAGAGTCGGTTCCGACACATAGCGCCCCTGTACAGGGTTTCCGAGGCTATACATCTTTATGGGAGCAGAAAGCCTCATCTTTCTCCCGCGGAACAGCTGGTAGTTTCGAACTGCTGACTCTGAGGTTAGCAGCCTGATTCGTAACCACTACGTTACCAGAGCTCAATGTTTCTTTTATCAAGAGTTATAACAGTGGTCTCATACAATATTTCTATTTTTGTGATTGACTACTTTCACTCAGCATATTGTTTCCAGGTTCATGCATGTTATGAGATGTTTCAAAAATTCATTATTCTGTAGTGTTGCTAGTTTCCATTGTGTGTATGTATCAATTTGTTTAATCATTCTTCTGTTGATGGGCATTTAGGCTGTCTCTATATTTTTGCTGTTGTGAATAGTGCTGCAGTGAACATGAATGTGCAGCTAAGTATGAAAAAAGAACTTTTACCTTACTCATCTGTACATCTCCCATAGGAAGATACTGAGAACACAAGATATACAGACTTTTTGAATAATTACTTTATAAAGCATCATATCCTATCATGGAGTGTTCGTTCTGTATCAGTTTGTATCTTTGATGGTTGGTTAAGACATCACAGTGTTGTTATTAAGTGTTCTCAAGTTGATTTCCACTGAAAGTGACCCTGTATAGGGTTTCCCAAGAGCAGCTGGTGGGTTTGAACTGCCAACCCTGTGGTTCATAGTCCAGTACTGATCCTACAGTGCCACACCAACAGTCCAAAGCATCACAGTAGCTCATTGGTAGGTAGTAGGCTAGAAACAACCTTTTTGCTTGTATGTATCACCAAAGAAATAGTGGCACATTGTGATTAGGAGTACAAGTTTTGGAGTCACTAGCAGTATTGCTTCAATTCCAAGCAGCACCACTTAAGAGTTGTTATGGAGGAGCTCTGGTAGCTTAGTGGTTACAAATCGTGCTGCTAACCTCAAGGTCAGCAGTTCAAAACTACCAGCTGTACCACAGGAGAAAAATGAGACATTCTGCTCCTGTAAAGATTTACAGCCTCAGAAACCCTGTACAGGGTCGCTGTGAGTCGGAACCGCCTCTGTGCACATTACCACCACCACCACCATGGTTGAAGGCTAGTAATCCAATCTAAACTCTTTAAGGAGAGCAACACTTAAGGAGATGTTGTGAGACTTCATATTGTTGTTGTTAGGTGCCGGGGAGTAAGTTCTGATTCATAGCAACCTGGTGTAGGGTTTCAGAGACTGTAAGTCTTTGCAGAAGCAGAAAGACTCATCTTTTTCCTGTAGACTTTGATACAAGTATTATTATTGAAACAGGTTGCCTTATTTCTCTTGTAAATAGACTTTTCTCTCTGTTAACATACTAGGTCCTGGAATCCTGACCCAAGCATTACTTAAAACTGGTGCCAGAGTGGTTGCCCTTGAAAGTGACAAAACTTTTATTCCACATTTGGAGGTACATATATATGTTATTTATTTACTTATTTTTAAGTGTTTCATAAGAGCTCATTGTTCGTCACTACCTTAGAGTGTTGTAGGGCTTAGTAGGTTTGATCAAATTAAGCACATGGTTTATTCAGCTATTTATCTATCTATTTATTTATTTGTGGAGACAAGAAGTTGAATTTATTAGAGGACACAGGTTATGTGGGGCAGTGCTACCAAGACCTTCATGAATGCAGGGCCCTCCACAATTGGGGTAGTATTTGACTCCACAGCCATCTAGGATGAAGCGCTTCAGCCACCATGTCTTCAAACTCATAAGCATTGAATATGGTGAAGCCCCATGGAATATCTTTTAGGCACCATGTCTTATTTACTTTGTTTTCCCTAGGGACTAGAAGAGAGTAGGCATTCACTGCTTATTCAGTGAATGTCGAAAAGATTAAGAGTTCTGAGGCTTGCTCTGTCATTTTAGCTTTGCTACAGGCCTAATTGAGTGATTGCAGTAAGTATGTAAATTATTACCTCAACTGTTCTGTCCTGTGCTGGTCCCCTGCCTTCTGTGAGTTTAGAATCTAATTGCTAAAATTAAGTTGATAAGATTATATGAACACTGGATTTAGAATTTCAGAGGCAAGAAAGTTTAGGTATAGATAGCCAGATACAATTCCATGAAGGAAAGACATAATCCAAGGGGATTTTTTTTTGGTGATTATAGCTTCCTGTAGAGCAGACAAGAAATTTGGGAGACAACTTCTTGCCCAGTTGACTAGAAGAGCTCTATATTTGTGTCAATTGAAAAAAAAAAAAAAAGACCCAACAGAATGCAGAAATGATCCAGCAATATAGTTTAAATTTTGCTGAAGTTAATTCAGAAGTGGCTTTAGCAGTACACTGACAGGTAGCTGCCACAAATTCAAACCATTCAATAAGGGATATCATTACTGACATTAGATAGATCTTGGCTGAAAGCAGAAAATACCAGAAAGATGCTTTTGTCATTAAGTGCTATCTAGTCAGTTCTGAGCTCTGGTAGCATAGTGGTTATGAATCAGGTTGCTAACCTCAGGGTCAGCAGTTCGAAACTACCAGCTGTTCCACAGTAGAAAGATGACGCTTTCTGCTCCCATAAAGATTTACAAGTCCAGAAACCCTGTGCAGGGTTGCTATGATGCGGAACTGACTCCACAGCACATAACAACAACAAGTCAGTACTGACTCATAGGGTATAGAGTTTCTAATGAGCTGATTGATTTGAACTGCCAACCTTGTAGTTAGCAGCCCGGTGTTTATCCTGCAGTACCACATCAGGACATTCAACCATGTGGATCATAACAATTTATGGTAAACACTGTGAAGAATGGGAGTTCCAGAAGACTTCTGTGTATTCCTGAGGAACCTGGACATAGACCAAGAGGCAGTCATTTGAACAGAATAAGGGAATACTGACTGACTTAAAATCAGAGAAAGTGTACACCAGGGTTGTATTGTTCATCATACTTACTCAATTTGTATGCTGAGCAAATAATCTGAGACGTTGGACTATATGAAGAAGAACATGATGTCAGGATTGGAAGAATGCTTATTACCAACCTGTGATGTGTAGGTGACACAACCTTGCTTGCTGGAAGTGAAAAGGACTTAAAGTATTTACTGATGAAGCCAAAAAAACTACATTCTTTAATATGGATTACACCTCAACATCAAGAAATCCAGAATCCTCACAATTGGACCAGTAAACAACATCATGATAAATGGAGAAAAGATTGAAGTTGTCTATTTCATTTTACATCGATTCACAATCAATGTCCATGAAAGCAACCATCAAGAAATCAGCCAACATATTGCATTAGGTAAATCTGCTGCAAAAAAACCCCACCTCATTCAAGTGTTAATTCTGCAAAGATTATGATCAAGAATATGCTATGGAGATGTTTGATGCTGTAAACCATGGGGTTGACATGAGTCAAGGGCCAACTCAACAACAGCTGATAGGAACAATGAATAAATCATGGTAAAATCCATTTGAATTGTAAAGACTATTATTGTAGCAGCTTTTATAGTAAAATGTGCCTTATTTCAGCAGGGATAGAGCATAGTCTTCAAATCATATTGATTTTGAATCGCTGCCCTAGCACTTGTTGTTAAGTGCCATTGAGTTGGTTCCAACTTGTAGCAACCCTATATAGGGTTTCCAAGGAGCTGCTGGTGTGTGCGAACCACCAGCCTTGCAATTCAAACCGACCTCGTCATCCAGTGCTTATCCTACAGATCTATACCAGCCCTTACTAGTCATAAAATCCTAGACAAGTAATTTAACCTTCAAAGTCTTGATTTTTCTAATGTATGAAAAAGTAAGTTAATACCTACCTGTATAGAATGTTGATGTGTTTGAAATGAAATAAATGATATAAAATGACTAGTAGAAACTCAAAGTTAATTTCTCTTCTCTTTCCACTTTCCTTTTTGTTTTTGAATCTTAAACATAATCTGGTTATCTCCAATCTGAAGTAACCTGTCACTGGGATTATGGTCATCATAGCTCCTGTTGTTATCTGAGAGCAGAGGCTTTGCTTGTTTTGTTCACTTCAGTGTCTTTCCCCCAGTGTGTGTCTGCTATAGAATAGCCAGCAGTAAATGTTGGTTCAACAAATGAGTGCAGCCGTGAAATTAGAAAACAAATGAGCCCTAAAATTATGTAACTCAACTAAATTATATGCAAATAAAATACTATAGTCTAGTACTTGATAGTAATTTTTCATTTAAAAAATTACATTTAGATATTTAGTCTAATATCTATAGCACCCCCTGTGAATAAATGAGACTTTTAGAGATGTGCCCAAGATCATGTAGGTGATTGTGCAGAGTTACGTTTGGTAACGAGTCTGCCCCCAGTCAGTGCTTTGCTATTCCTGTTTGTCTGAGTTGCTGTCAAGTCTTTATCATTTCCTTGAAAGTTTTGGTTGAAGTTAGGACAATTTCTGCACATCCATGTTCTTGGCAGCATTATTCACAGTAGCAAAAAGTTGAAAAAACCTAAGTGCCCATCAAGGGATGAGTCAAAAAGTAAACCATACACACAACAGAATACTATGTGATGTATTAAATAACAGTGAATGTGAAAAATAACTTGTGGATGAACCTAGAGGATGTTATGCTGAGTGAAGTAAGTCAGTGAAAAAAATTCAAATATTGTCTGATACCACTAGTGTGAAAAGAATGCTACCCAACATTGAAGAATATGAATCTATAAAACACCTTGGAACATGGATGAACCTGAAGGAAAGTATGCTAGTGAAGTTAGTCAATCACAAATGACATATAATTGTATGAGACCAATGTAAAAAGCTAAGAGAAAGTTTTCTTGATAAAAGAAACAATCTATAATGGTTACTGGTGTGTTGGGGGTGGAGGGGTAGAATTATTCACAGGTTAAAGGGTAGACACGTGAACCTGGGTGATGAAGCAGATAATATACAAGAAGGTTGACAGGAAAGACGAAGGTAGCAGGAGACACAGGGAGGAGTGTAAGCATTAACTGAATAGAGGTAAATACTGTTAACTGATGGTATATGGGGGGAATTGCAATCATTGTAATAAGCAAAGTATGTAATTTGTTGAAGGTAGAATGGATGATCTGCCCTGTAAACTTTGGGTCAATTCACAATAAAAAGTTTTTTTAAAAAATCAAGAAAAGATGAAAAGATTTACATATAGAAACATTCTTTGATGGTGTCTTACCATGAATTTACTTGATATGGATTTTCTTTCCAAAGCCATCTTGACTTCCACCAAATGATTGGACTCTTCTAATACTAGAATTAGGTCGTTTTGCCATCCTGCTATGTTTTAAAGGAGTCATCTCAAGAGCAAAATAGACAGTCCCACGACCATCAACAAAGAACATGCGATCCCTGCCTGCAAAGGCAGTGGCATAGAGAGACAGTGTAGCTGCAGGCTTCTCATTCCATGCACTGAGTAAAGCTGAGTGCCTACGTGTAGGAGGCTAACACTTTGGCCACTTACAAACTGGCTACAGGAGCTTTTGTAATACTTGTGTTAAAAGCATGTGCACATTTAGCTCACTAACGTCTAGATGTCAATCTTTATGCATTCCATTTCATTTTTCACAAGTTTCTATTTTTCTAGCTTCATAAGTCATACATACAATGTTCTAATAATTAATGGATAACTGCAGCAGTTTCTTCTTATTTTGAGTTGTGTCCCATCAGCTAATGAAATTCCCAGAAGTTTGTGTGATTAATGTCACTATAGTCAACTCTACTTTGAGGAGGCAGCCCTTTCCCAGGTATATTTTTAGTGCCTTCAAACCTGAAGGGTTCATCTTCTGTTACTATACCTGACAATGTTCTGTTGTAATTCATAAAGTTTTTAATCACTAAACATTCAGATGTTGTCCAGCTTTCCTTTTTCCGAGTGGTTTTAGTCTGGAAAGTTCACTGAAAGCTGCCCACCATGGGTGTCATGGCTTCCAGCATCTCAACAAAAGGCAAGCCGTCATGTTCTGACAAACTGACCAATGAGTGGTGGAAAACTGAGGCATGGATACTATTAAATGCATTCTATAACTGTTAATTAGCTAAATCAGCTTTTGAATCCATGCAATTTGACTCCATAACCTGTTTTATGACTAGTTTTCATGTAACATTATCTTGATTCAATGTGGTGAGTAGAAATACTGAAAATGTATTGTTTAGGTACATACATGTTAGAGAGTAGAGTCCTACACAGATCAAAGGACCTTCCATCTGAATGGTGGCCAATGATCAGGGGATGTTGGAAAAATCCTTCAGAGTAAAGATAATTGCACAGGTAGTACTATCTAATCTCCAGCTTCCTCAGTACAGAAATATTGGCAGTGGTGAAAATCAATATTGTGCAAACCTGAACCCAGTAGTCCAATGACATAATATTTTTGGCTTTTCTAATTCTAATGTTTGTGCAATCACCTAGGTTTTGCATTAAATTTATACCTTGTATAAGTGTGTCTTT